CCTTGGCAGTGACTCGGAGGACTCGTGGAGATGGAGGGATCGATAGCAACAAGGCAGACGCCTACAGGGAACATTGACTTGATGGTCTTTGACTGTGGGGCTGCAGAAGTTAAACCCAGAGGGGTGCAGAGAGAAGAAAGCAAACGGCAGATCCATTCTGGGCTGAGGCTGGCCCAATGCTGTCTGATGGAAAGGAGGATTTGAAGCACAAGCTCCTGTGAGGAGTTCCTATTGTGAATTAAACCCCAGGAGAGATGGGAAAGTCATGTTCTGCTCAACATTGCCTCTCCCTCAGAGCCTTTCAGCTTCTCCTGCTTGGAAATCCAGAGCAGCTGCAAGCCAAGGCCACATTGCTGTAGAGACATGGGTTTATTGGGAGCACGAGGAGCTTTTTGTCTCCTTGCTTCTTGCCAATTCCTGATTTTCTGCTGCCCTGCGAGGCCGACGAGAAGAGGAGGGCTCTGCAAAGGCCAGCAGTGTGGATGCCTAGTCATGCCCTGACATTTTGGCCCACTGCTCTGGGAGGCCAACCCTAACTGGCCCTCCCTGGAAGGCAGTGGGATGAAGAGAACTCTGCTCTGAACTTGGCAGCTCCCCAGAGGCACAAAGCAATGCCCTGAGAAGGTGTCTCCTCTGAGGTCAGGCTGCTGGCTGACTATTTCATGCCCTCAGTGACTCACAAGCAGCAAAGGCTAAATATTTGGGGTTTGAACAGAGAAGGATGTACTTGTGTTTCCTAAGGGATCCCAACAGCTGGCAGCATGTCCAGCGTGGTCAGGCCTTGCTCATGATGTGAGCTGCACTCAAAATGGAGCTCTAAATTTTAATCAAAGTAAAATTGCCTCTGGGTAGTTGACTGGAAGGAAATGGAGGTGGTACTCGGTAAGAGAGACTGTGCTAGCCCTCATGCTGGCTCCCAGGAGGTGAAGCTTCATGTCAGTCCTCCTCCTTTTGAAGTCAGCAGGTTTATGGGAAGGCTGGATTAGATGTTCCTCCTGCTGCCATTCAGTTTATCCAGGTACTCTCAAGCCTGGATTCAGCATCCTCTTTGAACCAGAAGAACTTCTGGGAAGACTTTGTAGTGCTAAGATATAACTACAAATGAGCTGCGATGCTGAAAAGCCACACAGCTGCATCCAGGGCTCCTCACAGTGACAGATTTCTTGCAGAAAAAGGGCTGAGCTGATTTTAGCAGGATGTGCATACATTGCATTTTGAAACATGTTTCAGAGTTGGGAGGAACGCTCTGTGTCATCCTCTGAGATTGGCGAGGTCCCGTCTTTGCCTTGGAAATGTTTCTGCCTACATGTGACTAATGCGGTGAAGATTGAGAGAAGAAAGGGGCAAGGGAGGGTTAAGAACCCACCTTTGGAGTAAATTCTACAAGTTTTCAAAGCCTTTTGATGGAGACTGAAGCACATTAGGATGAAGTAGGAAGCCTGGAAGTGGGGTTCAACAGGGCAAAGCTGGATTTGGAGCAGAACAGCTACAGATGCTTGGCTCACAGACAGAGGATGGTGTTACTGATGGAGGAGTACTCTGAAGAACGCTGGCAGTAGGTGTGTGGTGTGTCTGAAACATAGCCCAGATGTGCACACTGCAGAGTGCCAAAAGCTCGTGGGTCTAGAAGTTATGGGGGATGCGAAGATGGTGGGGTCCTGTGGGTTCTACTGAAACATGCATATAATTGACTGATGGAACGGATAACTTGACTAAAACCTCCCCATTTCAAGGGTGCCTTTTGTCTCTCCTCTCTCTTCCTTGCTCATCATCCTGGAAGAGGAAGGAAGCGTTTTCCTAATTAACATGAATTAGTGTTTACTTAATGTCTGGAGTTAGGAGCCAAGTGCATTTGCCACTGGTGTGAGGCAGACTTCCTCCCCCCGGCCCCGGACACCAGTCAGTTGTTTCATGCAGGCCATCAACTTGATTGCCAAACAGCAGCGGTTTGTTGGCAACTGGGTGGGGACACTGCAGCTCAGGGAGGAGAGCAAAGAGGCTCTGGTTTCTATTCCGAACCGTTTTGCTTGTCCAGTCCCTCCTTTGTTGTTAGCTGAGCTTTTTAAGTTTAGGAGAGGAACACAATGGAGCACATTCAGGACACAGCCCTGCATCACTGCTGTCCCCTTGCGAGGACACACTGAGCCAGACCAGGTGCTTTGCTCTGGAGGCTTTCATTTGCACTTAGGCTCTCCATCAGGAACGTCTCTCATCAGCAGCTGAGAACTGGCCTAAGCACAGAGCCCGTCCCAGGCTTTTTCTCTCCTCTTTGCGCACCTCGGGTATTTGGCAGGGCAATGCCTCGGCAACAGTGAAATGGGAAAGTAACTTTTGGTAAAGACTCTGTGATCTTTAAAGCCACGTGGTTGTTTCAGGTGGAACCCACACCCAGATAATTCTGGATGTGGTATGGAGTAGAAGAGGGCTGGGGAGGGGAGGATGGCTACACCGAGCAAAGCTGCACTTCCAGCTCCTGTGTAGATCATGGCTTCACCAGTAAATGCTGGAGAGGGGGAGCAGGCCAGCATGGGTGGACAGTCACATCTGTGTCCTGCCACCCCACCGTGTTGTGGGATGCTGTTGAGAGGAACTGCCCCGTTCACCCCAAGCACCAGTGCCTGTGCTGTGGTTCGGGATGCAGCTTGCACAGCAGGAAGACACTGGGAATGGGGCAGGAACGTGGCCCAATGCACCGTAGACCTTGATGGCTGTATTTAGGACTTGATGCCAAAGCTGAGTTGGAAAGATGGTTCATCTGCTGCTTCTGCACAGGCAGAGGAATGGTCTGTCCCTTCCTCTGCACCCTTGAGTTCTCACTTCATGCTATAGGCACCAATTAGTGAAAAGATGGAAACACTCCCAATTTTAGAACAGCTTTGATAGTATTAGCACCAGCAGTATTTCCTTTTAAGATGCTTAGAGGACTCTGCAAACAAGAAAAGAAATAAGACCAAGTGTTGCCTTTTATATAAAAAAGCTAGTCATTTAATCATTTTAAAATGACTCTCTACAAGATAACAAACTGTAATACAGGCTTGCAATAAAGGTTTTCCTTTTGAAAGCACAAACTATCAACGTAACCACTAAGCTTCAAAACATTTTTTTCATTTTCTAAGAATATACCATGGAAAAAAAAAAACTGGACAAGGAAATCCAAAAGAATCCCAAACAACCCAAGTACAAAACAGGTTCACAAGTTATTTTTTGGCAACTGGCTACTGGTTACAATGGGATACCTACCCTTCTGCTCAAGCTAAGGCGGGTTTCAGGTCAGAGCCAAACCCGAGAGCTGATTCGGCACAACCAGCTGAGGTTGTGTTGGCCCCCCTGGCCTTCCAGATACGTCCTGCAGACCCTGGAAGTGACACGGTGGCCAGGAGTGGTCTCCACTGTGAGACAACACATTAAGGCTTCAGGACTTCATGCGCTGCTGGAATGGTTTTGTTTTCTAAGGCAACAAATCCCATTTCAATAAGGCACGTGCTCCGGCACAAGCTGGGAACGCGAGCTGTTAGGCAGAAGTGCCTGTTCTCTAGCTGCATCTATTTACATCAACGTGGGACTACCTTGACTTCTGCAAGGACAGTAGTGTTTCAGCCTGAAAAATGCCAGAATCGCCTGGAATTTACCCAAATTATTGCCCACTTTGAACTGTGGCTTCTAGTCCGAGGACCGCAGGCAACTGGAGTTCTGTGCCTTATTTTTAGAGGATTCACAAAAGACAACGAAGATAAATAAGCTTGTGTGTGTTCTGGAGCAGCCAGCGTATGCGAAGTTTCTAAAGGAGTCTTCCACTCTGCTAACAATTTTTAAAGCTCTAAATTAAAAATTAGTGGGTGGGACTGTGTGTACTACTGATGGAATGGCCCCGTTAAGACGAGGTCATTTCTGGCAACAGTGTAGTGCAGAAGGACCAACACTTATGCAACAGCATTTGAAAAAAAGCCCAATAGTTGACTGGAAGTCAGAACTGCAATAGATGCAATTAATTCCCAAAACTATGTCCTAGACAAGTAAGTGCTATAAATGTGTATATGCTCCAGAGATGTTTGAGTATCTATTATTTCAAATTGAGCTGTTTTCTTTCCATGTGAGTTACAATTTGTACATAAATCCCTCTGAAAAGGACCGGTATTTTGAGATGTTCATCTGCGGCCTCAAAGATGAGCCCAAGGGATCCAGGCTTTCGAGCCCGACTCTTAAATGTAATTGCCAATGCAAGGACACACAAAGTAAACATGTATGAATTTACATTGCTGGGAATCCATCCACATTGGGAAATCCCATGTTACACAGTTACTAGAAACAGCAAAATTGGAATGCCACAAGATATTAAATATACACAATTCTGCCTTCCTCCTGAGAAGGTTCTGTTTCTTATATGGCCTAAAAATGCTTTTCTCCCAAATGCCATACGCCTCACTTGACATGCTGCTTGTTGCAGTTGTGCATATAGACACTACTCAGAATGATTGAATGCTGTACATAACGAAACATTGAGAGTTAAATTTAATATGGGAATTAACCTATAGAAAGTCATTTCTAAGAAGGGAATGGAGTTCTATGAGAACCATTACACTTGCTTCGTGGATTGCTACAAGTAGGTTTCACAACCCAGTCCGTGTGCCAAAACCACCATGGAATGAAATAAAAAAGAGCGCAGCATCCAGTTCACAAATACACTGAGGAAACGGGCAGTATGTACAAAAGATACGCACTGCTTACGCAATGCACAATTTTTAAGGTGCTTTTAGGGAATGTAGCAACATATACATACATGCAGTGTATACATATCTAAATGTGTATTAGAAACATAATACAGAGCCAGATATATTCCCAGATCCCTGATTCCATTAGATTCTCTAGCGCACAAGAATGCATTTAAAATATTTCATTTAAAAAAATCTAAAAAAAAATAAATGACAACATTTACATAAAAAATAGCTCCAGTTTGTTTGCTTTTCCGTTTTGCTGCTCACAGATTTGGATTCCCCTGGGTTTCACAAGGATGCCATTTGGACCAGCGAGAGTTTGAACAACTGTGCGTGACGAGAGAGCTCTGTCACTTGGTCCACCATCTTCTGCAGGGCGGCTGTGCTGGGGTAATGCAAGGCAGCCGCCTTGGTGGCCAGGACAACGCTCTTCAGCAGCTCGCACAACTGGTTGCTGGAGTTCATCACTTTGTTGCGTATGTCCTGAGTCGTCACCTGCCTTGTGAGCATGTCTCCAATGAAGACGAGTTTGTGAGCGCTCAAAATGACAAATTTGCTGTGAGCCACAAAGATTCGGGGGGGCTGAGAAGCGTTGATGCAGCTGAAAAAGGCATCGATGGCGTTCAGGAGGGAGTTGAAGTGAGTCTCGCATTGGTCAGCATAGAACAAAAGCAGACGGCAGTCACGGGAGGTGGCAGCGCTGTTGGCAGTCTGGAGAGCCTGAGGTGGCTTCCACTTTGAGATGTCATTCTCCACTGGCTTGGTGATCTCTTGCTCCAGGCGCTGGAACTGATTGATCTGAAAGGGAAATGAAAAGGCTCTCCTCAAAGAATATCCTTGTAAGACGTTGTCATGTAGTACAATTTCACCTTATGCCTCAGGACATGCCTGGGTATCCTAGATTCACCTTGTGCTAAATAAAAAAGTAGTATATGTGTTTTCTAAGATCTATTCTGGAGAGTGAGGGGTAATCAAGTGCTTTGGTTACTACAAGTCCAAATACAGAGTACAGAAGAAAAAAACATCTGAAATACTTCATTTGCATTCTAAAAAACCTCCAACTCTCCTGAATTTACAGGCTGTTGCTCATTTCGAATATTCTGAAATCACAAGTGAGAAAGATGGATCTAAGTGGCAATGACTCCTACACAATCTTTAAAAAGCTGACATCTCTGTGGGATTTTGCGATGACAAACGTTTAACGCTCACCTCCTCGTTGCTTGTACAATTTTCTGCCATACGATATGGCAACACCACATTGAAGAATTAACGAGGGCAAAGTGACAGCTCTCTATTATCTGTGACCTACTCTTAGCATTTCAAGTGATGTTATGCACAGTATTGAAGTTAATGGTACTGATGTTCACTGAACAGATGTGCAGGTGTCTCCAGTGTGGTTCAGTGATGAAGGCACTGGATTGCAGGTGAGGAAAGCCAAGTTCTCAAGCAAGCTTTGTGACTGACCCACTGTGAGACATTGCAGAAGTATGTTTCCCTTCTCCCTTTTGGAGACTGCTTTTTTAGTACACGTATGCACTGGGCTCATCACAATAGTGCACTGTATAGAAAAATAATCAGTTTCTTAAATTGAGATGGTTGGAAATGGTTTTCAAGAGAAGGGCTTATTCCTACCACAACACTTCATTCTAAACAGAGAGCTGTGGCCGTGCTTCCACTCAATTATAAGTGGCAACAAGGAAATGTACGGGGCAGAGACACTGATCTTCGGAATCAGTAAATACTCAAGCTGTCTTTGCCATAAGCGATTGCTGACACATTCACAGGCCCAGGAAGGTGCTAGAATCTTGATGCTCAGCATTTCCCATTTGAAGCATGACAGTGCCTGTCCTTGTCCTCTGCACTGATAAATCCATGAATGATGGAGCCTGATTGGCACAAATTTCAACTGGAAAGAAACTAACCTGGAGCCACTGTTTAGCCAAACCTGCTGTCTTCACTTCACCTGAGACTTTGCAACTGCATGTGCTGGCACTCACGCATGCCTCGCAAACGTGATACTCACAGTGGCACACTGCTACGGGAAGGGCCCCTCCTGCTTTATTGACTCCTTATGTGCTAGAACACTGCACTTCAACATGATTATTGCACCCGAGTAAACATACCTGATGGTGCTCTAGCTCCATTTTGCTCTGCTTGATGATATTTTCTTTTTCCAGCAGCTCCCTCTGTTGTCTTTCAAACTCTTCTTTCCCCTGTTTTGCATAACATAAGACGCTGTTAAATCAAAACCGCTCCTAAGCTAAATGACCACACAGGTCAACAAGCTGCTTCATATTGGCTCTTTCACTGGTAGTGTACCACTAAGAGTACAGAGAAGAAAAGGATGGTATGACAGAGTAAGAGGTTATTGCTATTATGTATGCAGCAGTCCTATTTGAGAGGAAGTAATCACCCCAGTGAAATTACTCTTGAATATGTATTAGTCTGACAATCTGATTGCTACCTTCCTGCAAACAGCTTCTGTAAAACCCACAGACAACTCTTACTTGACCTTATGCAGAACAAGGTGTTGGGTTTACCTACCTGCAGGTGAACGTAATCGTAGTCATCCATCCAGCTCTTTTCTGAGCTCTCACTGGTGGTATTGTGAGGGTGCTGACCTTTACTCAGGAGCAGAGGAAAGGAACTGCAGTGGTTCTGTGCTTTTTCTCCGTGATGCTGCATATGAGGACTGTCATACACATAGTCAGGAGTGTTCGTGATACTCTCTGGTGTGTTTTTGGGACGTGAGCTGTTCAATGCCTGTTTGAAGAGCACCTCTGCATTGACACTAATGGTAGTAGTCAGTTGCTTGGCATCATCTGGAACTGTCCTTGCCACCATAACAAACCGATCCAGGTCATCACACTTGCTCTGCAGTCTGTTGACAGCCAGAACATTCAAAGACCAGTTGAAGCTGTTCAAGTCGTGACGGGTTTGGGTAAGGATCTGGTGAGAGTCCTCTAGCCTTTGTACCTCCCTCCTCATTTTGTTGAGGAGGCCGAACTCAGACAGGCAGGAAGCATTGGCTGCTGATCCTTTTGCAAACTGAAGGTACTCCAACAGCGACTGCTCCACCTTATCCACAGCAGTGTGAATTTCATTGATGTGTTTCTCCATGTATCCATATGACCTCCAGTCTGCTGTAACGAAGGCCATGAGGTTATTGACAGCTGTCTCTACCATCTGCTGGAGGCGATAAAGTCTCTCTATAGCAGTGTCTGGATCAAGGATTAGTCTTTTGTCCTGTGCGGTTGATGCTGAGACAGAAGAGTCTTTTGATGTTGTTGAAGATGTGGACATGTTACTCCTGGTGCTTCCTGTGCTAGAGAAAGACAACCTATTCATCCCATCAGTCACGTCCTGTAAGCCTTTAGTGTCTTGGAGGACTGCTGGTGGCACATCATATACGCCTTCTCTTCCTTCTGGGATGATGCTTTCACCGAGTCCTGTCTGTTGTCCTGGGAATGCAATTCCCCTTGGGGTATCATAAACATCTTTTTGAGGTGCAATTTGCTGTCCAAGAAAATGGTTTTGATGGTTCATAGGGATGTCATAAACACTATGTTTCTGTGACACTCCATCTGGCAATAAAAAACTCTCAGGAGAAAATTTAATTTCTTTCCCAGTTGCTTTGGTGATGGGAGGAGGAATGTCATACACTCCTTCTGGTCTTACACTGTGGCCCACTGGTGATGAAAAATCCTGCAAATTTTCCCTCAGGCCTGTATCATCTCGGCATGCAGATGGAGGTGTAGCATAGACCTGAATCACAGAAAGCAAACCATAAAACCTTTGCCTAGAATAGCAAAATATATCACATCTTCTATATGGCCTATAAAATGCTGGGATGGAAGATCTGCCATTGACCTTCATGGAGTCAGCTACTTATCCTGAGTTTGACTGAGTATCAGTTTTAATCTCTCATTTTTTAACATTCATCTTAATGCAAATTCTTATAAGTGGCAAAATCCAAGAAGGCAGCATGTTGCCACAACAACAATGTAATTCACACTCCATATCATCAATAACTTTGATGCAGTGTTTCACTTCACCAGTTTTAACAGTTTAAAAACCTCAGGAAATATTTAAAGTACTGAATCTCCTTTTCCTGCAGGGTCATACATGAACTCTTGTTTAAATGTGCCTTTGGTCAGACATGAAAATGCAGGATCTTATGGAAACACCGTAGTAGTTACCCCTTTGGCAGGTGGTATGTCATAGACTCCTGAAGCTTTTGCTTCTCCCATGGGAACTGGAAGTGCAGGCCCCTTAACTGATGTAGGGGGGATATCGTATATCTAAAGAGAGAATAAATTGGTTACAGAAACATGTCACCTCAGGAAACCTCTCATCTCAGATGAGTTTTAATTTCTGTGTTTCCTCTTAAACAGCCTGAAGATGATCAGAGCTCTTCAACTTTGTTTCATATGGGAGAGCTACTTGGATTTGCCTGGTATTTTGGACAGTTAGGAGGAAAAGCACTTTGCTAAGCCTCCTCTGGACAACTGTGTATACGGTAGGCTGGAGAGATGAAGTCACAGCTGACTTGAGCATTAAATCAAGGCCAGTCTATTACAGGTATCTGTTGGGGTGAACACAGCAGCAGTATATTCATGTGACCAGAACTGATCACACCCTTACCGATACAGATTAGAGGGGTTGAGGAATAAGCTTGACTAGTACACACTAAACTCTCTGAAACTAAGGCTGTCCCTGTCAGCGTCGCCTATCTGCTTTATTGGGTGCAGTGCGAGCTGTCTTACTAGCAGAGTACAGCTAGTACTGTTTCAAGTGTCCCACCTGGTGGCATGTCCTACAGTACCATGGGTTCTGCGTGTGGTCCTAGCCCACTGTCTGAATGTCTCTTAACCCAGACCTTCCCAACGGTTCCAGCCATTTGTTGTCTCTCTGTGTTACGTATTATGGGGCTTCAATGTTGTTCCCTAGAGGAGCTGCTCTGCCAAGGGGCTGTGGAGAAATGCAGGGTTGTTGAGTTACAGGTCCTACAGGCATCCACTCGAGATGTCTGCGGTCTTGGGGATTGAGTGCTAAGGGTGTTCCCCAGAACAAAGATATAATTCAAGTTCAGTGACACAGTGCTGTAGATAAGTGGTGAAAACAATTCTCTGCATAGTAGCTGTTCATCTAGGCAATAATTTTACCCTTATTGAGTGAATTACTGTCAACTATATAACAACAAAGTAAGGGGAAAAAATTGTTCTCAGGCAGCGAGTTTATTCTGTTTAGATAAACTCTTTGATCAAAACACAGAAAACAAATGGGACTTTTGCATTTGGTGTGCTGCCAAATCTCAGTCAACATCAAATACAGCTTTGAAATACTTCTGTGCTCTGTGAATAAGCCACTGTCTCTAATTAAAACATATTTTCTCTCTGAAATGAGAGAACTTGTTTTGGTCATAAACGTCTGGTAGAAATTAATCACCTTTTGTGCCCTGTCAGTGCTGTTGGCAGTTTTATTGATACCTACCCCTTGGAGAGGGCGAACAGGGGGAATATCGTAGGTATCCTTCTGGTATTTGGAAGGGAATTCATAAACATAATCTTGTCCAGACCTGACTGGAGTTATTACCTGTGGGATAAAAGAAAAAGGAGAAACGTTACGTCTCTGAGGATCTTGGCGTGTTCTCTCTGTGACTGTAGAGGGTATAAACAGTGCAGTACTGTTAACACATTCACACTTTAGGTGGCAATGCCAGTAACACAAGTCTAAGCATACTTCTGACAGCTGAACATTGTTAACAATTATATTAGGAGCTACCAATGCACCGCCTTTCCTTTCCAGACCAATTCTGACATGGCTGCTTGGCAGTGCTACAATATCTTCTGTCTATCAAGCACATATTCTGTGGCAGGTCCAAGAGCCTGGTCCCTTCTTCCCATTGAGCGTCCATTAGCACAGATCTCATGACGTGATGGTGACACCACCCACTCAGTGAGATCAGGGCCACATACATTCTGCTCCTCCCGCTGAGGTCTTGAGTGTCCTCACTTACTGACAGAGGCCCAAAATACCATGTTCAGGTTCTGGGAGTCTTCCCCCTTTGCTTGTGGAGGTATTTCCCTACTCTGGTAGGGCGTTTTGTGTTGCTATGCTCCATAGCACAACATCTTGGATGACTGAGTGTGAGTTGTGGTTTTGGAAATTCTTTCCCTAGAAAGGCTATGCTTAAACCATCCAACGTGGGACACTCAATTATGGTGTCTCCATTCGGTTTCTCTGTATTAGTGGCTAAGAGGTAGGAAATGTTAAACCATTCTTGAAGGATACAGCGCAAGAACAGCTTCTGAAAAAAAAGCTTTTTTGACATTTTCTAAACCATTAACTACCATAATGACTTCAAATAAAACTTGGTGAAAAATAAATGCCTTACATCTTGGACAGCATCTGCAAGGCAGAATTTCAGTACAGCGTGGTATAAAAGAAATGCTACCTAACCCCCAGAAAGAGCTAGGTTTATAGTGGAAATGCTGACATCTTAACTTCTACTGGAGCTATTTAGCTTTAACAAAAAAAGACAAATACTGTAACCCAGAGGCAAAAAATGGCTAATTGCACAGGCCCATACAAGATGTGGCTTTGCACTCAGATGGGGATAATTCTGTAGCAGGATGTACAACAGAGTTTCTGCTCAAATGCTCAGTAAAGATTCTATAGCAGTTTTTGCTGTAAGGAATCCTAGCATCCTGGCCAGATTTCACAGTGAGTTTTACCCTTTATCATGAAACAATCACTGGATTTCCCCGTGAGGTGACTGCCATACCAGTACACAGTACAGGTCTGATTTAATGTGAGTAGCCCAGGCCTGGTAGTGCCAGCCTCAGTGCTGGCTGTGTGTGCCTTAGGTGAGGGAGGAACACCCATGCCTGGCAAGCGGGTGAAGACAGAGGTTTCTGCACCGGCTTTTCCTTGAATTAGCGTCAAAGGACAGGAACTGGAAGCGATACAGTCTCCAGAGAGATGAGGCAGTTCACGGCCCGTAAGAGAACTCCTGCTGAATTGGGTGTGGGGTCATTCATTCAGGATACGAGACACCACCACACTGTCTTTGCTCAGAGAGTTCATTTCCATGAGCAAACTCACAGAAAAGTCACAGGCTTTTAATATAAAAAAGGGAGCTGATCTGAGCAGTGCAGGTAACAAGGCAATCACAGAGGGTTGGGAAAGACCTTTAAGATCACTGAGTCCAGCTATAAACCCAACATTGCCAAGTCCACCACTGAACCATGTCCCTAAGCACACACTAGTAAAATTGCTTGCTCTAGTTGTTACAGGTAAACATAGTATTTTGCTTTTGTAAAAAGAATCTCTGGTGGCAAAGCAGATGCTATCCTTACACGGTGGAGCCTGGAACATGGAAAAGAAGCTGTGCCCAGTATTTACAGATGCCCTCACTCTGCATCCAGGAGTAGGATGCAGCCGTGGTTATTCTTGTAGCTCATCCTTAGAGACCTTTCCCATTTTTCAAAAGAGGTTGACAAGACCAAATACTATATGAAAGGTTTACAGTACTACGAGGCTGCTGTTTTTACATCCTGTGCTGTGATACAATCCTAAATAAGTATACTAAAGCTAGACTGGCCAGATGAAGGAAGCCAGTTTCACTTAGCACTTGCAGGACTTTTTTAATCACCTATCTTTGACACTTGTGCTCTTTCCCAGATTTGACTAACCCTAATTAGCGGTCAAGCATGGTCACTCCTTTATTTGAGTGAAACCCCTGCTCTGGGTGCTTTCCACTGCTGTCAAAGGAAGGGAGAGGTTAAAACACAAAGTGCCTGATTGGGGGCATTCAGGAGTACAGCCTGCCTGCATGGGTGACTGTGGACAGATCTGAGCTGTCTTCGGGGCTGTGCTTAGCAGTGCACCCCACTTAAGGTGGCCTTTAGTTTCCAAATAAAAACATGTCAGAGGTTTTTATGTCTGCTCCGTTTTAGGCTTCTGAAAAAGCTGTATGAAAGACAGAAAATATGACTTTAAGAAACCCAGCAACAACCAAGGTTTGCTGATAACACAAAAGACAACTTTTACATCCCAGTGACTCAGGTAGATTTTCCTGTGTGGAGGCTTTTATTATCCAGTAACAACACGTTCTGAGCGATTTAATCACAAAATCCTCTACAAATGCTGATCTGGTCTGCACTGAGTACAGGAACATTTCCTGTTGTACCTCCACTCCTCTTCCCTTCCAACGCTTTTCATCAGGTTAAACACGTCTCTGGACTGCTTGTTCCTGGGCAACTCAGAACAGCAGCAGCTCATCACCGAAACAGGTATTTAGTGACCATTTTGTAACAGCTATTAAAAGAATACCCATGCTACTTGACAAAATGAAACATTCAGTATTTGTTCTGACTCTGGTGTCCCCAAGATGTGACCTCGCATGGGAAGCCAGGACATGTGGCTGCGCTGCTTCTTCTGCATGGGAAGAGCGAGGTGGTAGCTGAAGTAAGAATGGTACCAAAGCCAAAGTATTTTCAGAAGTAACTTTTGATTTTGGATATCCACCCTTAAATATATTAAATGAACTTGCTGCTTCTGAATGGGATGCTCAGCCCTTTTAAAGCACTTTTGAACCTTTTTTTAATGGGTCTGAATGTTTGATAGCAGTTTAGTTTTGAAGATGGACTTCCAAAGGAAGGAGGTGGCTGCAAAAGAAAAGCTGACCTTCTCCCACTTCTGGAACAGGGGCTAGCAGCCCTGTCTGGCACTTAGGAATTTATTTCCTAACAACTTCGGACCTCATGAGGATTCTTTTCCCTTTTACCTCTTCTCTTTTAAGAATGCCCCTGGTTATCCGAGTTTAAATAATCCTGCATTTCAAACCAGCAATTTTCCTTGTTTACACATTCAAGGAAACAGATGGTGTTCCCACAAACTCTCCAGCCTAACATTCTCAAAACATCGTTAACCACTTAATCCATGCAGAGAAACTAAGGGGGACCAGGTTTGGCTCTGGTGAAACATGTAATGAGCCTATTTCAAACTTCCAGTACTGCAAAACAAAGATAATTGAGCAGAAAGTTTGTTCTGTTCTTGCTGAAGACCAAGCTCTTCCAAAAGCAATTACTTGTGCCTTCTCCATGCCAATGGCATGTTCCTAACCAAGAAAAAGAGCTGAATGTGCATGTACTTTGCAAAATATCCAGTCCTGTGGTTCATTAAATCCCTCTGCCTTAAATATAAGGAAAAAACCCTACTCTCCTTCTTCTAGGATTTAAATGGATGTTACGCTGCAATAGAGAGCATTCCTAACTAAGACAGCAACAAGACAGTTCTTGTGCTTACAGCAGACACACAACACTGTAGTTTACATTGTTTTACAAGGACAAAGAGCAAATAAACCTACTGAAGCCAACAAAGTTACTCTGGAATTATGGCAGCACTGTGCAGGGCAGAATTCAGCCTGTTCCCACGAACAGCAATGCCTGATAAACAGAATGATGGGAAATAACCTTCACTGAGTTTTACAGGTGAGAGAGCTGAAGCAGAGGTATGCTGCACTGCTGCAACACCTTGCCCATCCCAAACCACAGGCAGACAGGAGGGCTGAACTGGACAGCCTGCTATTTCCCAGTATGGCTTCTTAATGCCAAGAACCTACTATTGCTTTTAAAATAGATCAGTGCTTTTTGGAGGTGGAAGAGGCACATGGAGTAAATTTTACACATTTATTTTAAATCTGGATGAAGAATTGTATTAAAACATATTTCCTCTCATGATGCTCTCCTCTTCACCACATGGGTAACTCTCAGCAGTTGATGAGCTACTGCCATCAACTGCAGCTAATCTCAGCTGTCAGTCCTGTAGCTATTAAAATTAGCTGTAGCTTACCCTGTCCTGGAGGAGGCTAAGTGGTGGTGCCTAATATAGGGCTGTTATAAAGCTTGGATATGGGAAAAATGAAACAAAATGTTAGTAAAGGAGCATGTTTTCTGTTGTACAGCATTTCTGTAAATTTAATACAAAACTCTAGTTATTGAAATTCTGTTCCTAAGCCTCTTAGGTGGATCTATAACAGCTACTGGGGCTTTCTTAGGCTTGTGAGAAGAATGAAATACCTAAAGAGAAGATGGGGAAATCATAAGAGAGAGAAGTGGGAGGGGGAACCAAATCCCTACTCTCTTGAACTCCTAGTCCACTGAAAGGCAGTGACAGGAGCCACTGAACGATTCTGGATCAGGCAGTGAGCCATCTCTCGTCACTTCCTTCTGTTTTGCTGTGTGTACTTGGGAAGCTACGGGTGTCTCCTTAAATGTTTTTTCTTGGGAAAGGGTCTGTGGCTAAGTTGAACTGCAAGAAGGTTATGTTAAAAGAGTCTCTGAGGTAATGTGGGTATTTGAAAGAACTTGGCTAGCTGACTTCAAATTCTGTCCTTTTTACAGAAAGCACATAGTGTTTCCTCTCCTGTCTTTTGCAAGCTGCATCAAGATTTCTAGTGACTGATATTGAATTTCCTGACAGTAATACCTATTGTATCACCCAGTATTGTCTGCTGTAAAAAAAAAATATGTTTTTATGAAGCAATAGCTTTGACTTTACTTATTTGCTATATACAGTGAACTACAATG